CTGCCTCTTCAATGTCGCATCGAACCGAATACATAACAGTAGCCTCCATCTTTGGGTCACTTTCCTCTGGTTTTTGTTCTATTGTCTGATTTATTTGTACATTTTTTTGTCATCATTTTCTGAGAGTTTAGGTCAGGGGTAGGCAACCTTGGCTCTTTTATGACTTGTGGACTTCAACTCCCAGAATTCCTGAGCCCAGTGTATTTTCTTTCCACTATTCCCAGCTGTTCTCTATTTAGTAAGATTCACTGAGGATCAAAGGAACAAGTTGTGTTCTATTTCTGGTATCTTGCCAATTTCTGAGGCAGAGCAGCTCTAATTCTATGCTATGATTTCCCCTCTAGATGCAAATAGATTATGCAGACACTTCTATTAATTAACTGGACAGGTTTAATGTGTCATTCAATAAATGTTGTGATATGTGCCCTGGTGGCAAAGTAGTTAAACTGCAGTATTGCAGGCAAACTTTGCCCACAGCTGGGAGTTCAATCCTGATGGGGTTCCAGGTTGACTCAGCATTCCATTCTTCAGAGGTCGGTAAAAAGATGACCCCATATTGTTGAGGACAAAAATGTTTATATTATAAGCCACCCAGAGAGAGCTGTAAAGCACTATGGGGTGATAAATAAGCCTAAAAGCTATCACTATTGCTATATGAATGTAGTGTCATGTCACCTTTCCCTGCAATTGTAATGCAAGCATGTTAGTACATCTTCCCAAATAATATTAGCACTTCACATTTATAAGGACTGATTCAAACATTTATAAGGACTGATTCAAATATTACAAATTACAAAGGAATTATAAAGGAAAATATAAAATTTGAAAAAAATAATATCTAAAAGTTCATTATCCTTTTCTTCTAAACTTTGTTTAGAAGAAACTCCTTCCTTCCTCCCTTCCTTCCTTCCTTCCACTCTATCATCTCTATCTGTGTCTCTTTATTCAATTTCAATTCAATTCAAAGAGAAATACAAATACAAAAAAAAATGTATATACCAAACAATAATGTAGACACGTTCATCAAATTAATTACTTATTAAGATATAATACCCAGACAAAATAATAACAAAAAAGAAACACAAATAAGATGCAAAAATCCCTCCAAGAATTAACTTATCAAATTGATGTAAATCACCTAAACATACCTTCTAATTTAATGATATAACAAATTACACTTTTCTCATTTTTAAAATTATTATAAAATCAATGTAAAAGTGAAATTTATTCTGTCAATTTTTAGTAATTAATAAAACCTTCTTTAGAATTAATATTTTTGCAGAATATATATTGAAGGAAACTGTATTGGAAGAAAAGGACATGGCTCTAAAATTATGGGGAGACTCTCCAATCACCTGCAATATGCTGAGGGTGCTAGCCTGAAAGTTGAAAAAGCATGTGATCTACAACTTCTAGGAATGAAATTCAAGGACCACAGCAAAAATAAAATGATGATGATGATTTAATATAAAGAATAACAAACCAAAGCCAACATGAATAATCTATTTTCAAATTAACAGTGAAAATCTTGAAGTGGTAAAGAGTTGACCCAAAAAGGCAGACAGTTCAACTATACAGGTAGTCCTCATCTTGTGACCACAATTGAATCCCAAAAGTTCCATTGCTAAGCAAGGCAGTTATTAAGTGAGTTTTGCCCCATTTTGTAACCTTTTTGCCACAGTTGTTTAGCGAATCACTGCAGACATTATATGAATCATGTACTCATTAAGCAAATGTGGCTTCTCTCATTGATTTTGCTTTTCAGAAGCCAGCTGGGAAGGTTACAAATGGTGATGACATGACTCTGGGACAGTGCAGCTGTGATAAACATATGCCAGTTGCCAAGTTTTGATCACATGACCATAGGGATGCTGCAATGGTCATTGGTATGAAAAACTTTCATAACTCACTTTTTCAGTGCTATTTAATTTTGAGAGATCAATAAACAAATGGTTGTAAAGACTACCTTTACTGAAACCAGCAATGAAGGGTTTGAAAAAGATATGGATGCTGGGATGTGTCTACACCTGCAAAGATCAGAAATGTGCAGACATTCTGCTGAATTGAGAGCATGGGGAGAGTTTCAAGGAGCTTTCACAGGATGGTAGTTAGGGTAAAGAGAGAGCAAAGGAAAGGTCTCACCCAGATCTTCCATGGTGCTTGATTGAGTTTAGTAGTGCTTTTGGCTTTTAGCTGGTGCAGCTAGATGGTCGGCCATGTCTTCCGTCGATCCAAAGGATCTGCCTCAGCTCAAGGGGGAGGGCTGCCACCCTTCCACCCTCAGGTGAGGGTCCTCCTCAGCGGTGGTCGCCCCTCCAGTGTGACTTTCAATCCTTTCTAGGGTCTTTCGATGGAAAGAAACCAGACGGCGGGGGAGGGAACTCTCCCCATGTGTCCGAAGGCGACGCGATCAGGAATCAGAAGCCATTTGCAATGGGTTATTAATGTAAGTGATGTTGTGTTATTATGCTTGCTATGTTCCAAATTATTAGCAAAATAAACCTCTGAATCTTAAAGTAAGAATTATTGTTTTGTGTTGCTGTCTCTTGTCTTTAACATTGGGTTTTTCCACGACACCTGTTTTCCCAAAAATAAGCCCTACCCCCAAAATAATTCCTAGCTTGATTTTTTGGGCTGGGCCTAATATAAGCTATACACTGAAAATAAGCCCTAGTTTTCAGGCGAGGCACATACCTAAAAATCAAACTAGGGTGGGGGCAGGGGGGACCTACTTACCTTACTGGTAGGACTGCTGTGGCAGACCTCCCATGCCCCAAAACTTGTCATACCATGTGGCTCATCATGCTGGTGCTGCTGGTTGTGGCAGAAGACTGCACAGTGCTTCGGGCCATTGCTGTTCCTCATGGCAGGATGCCGTGCAGCGATTTGGGTTGTTGCTGCTCCTTGTGGCAGGACCCAAAATGCCGTGTAGCCTCCTGCCGTGACCAGCAGCAATGGATGGCCCAAAGCAACATGAGGCCTCCTGCAAATGGCCCAAAGTGCCATGCAGCCTCTTGCCGTGAGTAGCAATGGCCCAAAGCACAATGTAGCTTCCTGCAAATTGTCTGAAGCACCATGCAGCCTCCTGGTAGCCTTGTGCCACATGGCGTCTAGTTGCAAATGATGGCAAGCAGCTACTGAAGAAGTCAAGCATGACGCGAAAGGTGTCAGGGTGTGGGAGGTAGAAAATAAGAAAATAAGACCCAGTGCCTCCTTTTGAGGCAAAAAAATTATGAGACTGGGTCTTATTTTCGGGGAAACACAATATTTAGAGAAGAATCCAAATTATCTTATTTTCTAAGGAAAATTGGGCAATATGCCTCAACAAAAAATCTTTTGATTCTTCAGTAATTATACTGAAATTGAATTTCCTACCCCATAAAACCAAAATAAATGATAGAAGTAGTTGATAACATCATCCTTAATCTAAACCTAAAATATTATAAAATTGTGACAGTTTAGATTTTCATTACTTAAAAATGATAAAGTCTATTTAGTGCTCAAATATTTTTCATTAGTAAGCCTGCAAATTAGTTGTCCACCACACCCCCATTTCCCCATTATAATAATAAAGACACTTGGGCAATCATTGAAATAGTTTTTGTTTCTTTTTTTTTCCTTTGTTTTTAAATCCACCCCCCAGTACTTTATCTATACTATCAATTAAGAGTTTTTTCTTTAATCCTTGGGGAAATGGTAAGAGACGTTAGATAAAAACCTCATAGAAATTCAGCACAGTATTACTCATGACTCTAAAAAGACAATCAGAAAATAAATAAATAAATCTGCATGACTAAAAATGGATTAAGTTGGTAAGTTATTAATTTTTTTGAATTGTCCATTAATGGTTTGTTTCTTCCTTTAAATTTTCATAAGTCTTTCCTTCCCTTTCTTTTGCAATTATGATTCCAAAAAAATACAGATTATAATGTAAGTGTTAGCTGTCTACAAAGAAATGATTCATCAGTACGTTTTATTTAAGAAGAGAGAGAAAAATAAATAAACACATTATTTTTCTTTAATCATTTTGATTATGCCCTTATTTTAGTACAGAACCCAGGGTTTTTTACTTACATCCTAACGTTGTGCTACTATTTAAAATGGACTCTTTGAAAACATTTTCATTTACTTTCTAAACAAGGTGATTCCATAGAGTTCTTAATTCAGATAAAATTGTAAAATAGAATTGAAGGCTCTGATTTGAGGCCATTTTTAAAATCTCAATTTTGTATAGAACAAAGTAGAGAATACAGAATCAAAGTATTTTTCTTTCTGGATGCCATAATTCAAACACTGCAGTTTATTAAGGGCCATTTATCAAGTAAGTTTGTAATGATGGTTTTAAAAAAATGAAGCAAAAACAATCCATAGTCGCTAAAATTAATAACTGCGGCAAATCCCACATCAAAATAATCATATTTCTACAACAATTAAAGAAAAGAGTTGAGCAGAGGTGGTAATTCTGAAATGAGCAGAATTTATAAAACACTAATAAAGAACTCTAGAGTTATGCCAGTAAAAGATAAAAAAAAAAAAGCATATTGTATCTGCCAGTAACAATATGCCAGTTAAAAATAAAGTCTCTTTTTCTTTTTTTTAAAAAAAAGGGAAAGGGGGAGGAAGAGAGACTACAGTTATATCATATTGATATCTTTAAATGTACTTGGATTTAAATCCAATTTCCAGCAGTTTTTATCTGTTGGATAAGAAATATTTGTTTTCTTTAGGCTCCCAGTTTTGAACAATTATTGTTACAGAATGCCCTAAGGTTTGATATTAATGATATTAATGGTTAAAAATCTGTGAGAGTCATCACCCTGAACTTTAAGGAAGCACAATCATATAAATCTGTTGCTCAGAATATTTGAATAAATTTGGAAGGTCAGGTTTTAATCTAATATCCATGAAATGCAGTATTCCACAGATAACTCAAAATGATATTGAATGGAAATAGTTTAACATTTTTTTTTCTTTTTCTTCTAGGGATGTAATCATTAAGAATGGATAATGACACCTCTCAATTTTTTCTTTGGGAATTCTCAGAAATTTGGGAGCTACGGGTTATGCACATAGCTTTACTGCTGATATTGTATTTAATGACATTATCAGGGAACCTTCTCATCATCTCTGCTGTTGTTTGTGACTACCACCTTCACACCCCCATGTACTTCTTCCTGATGAATTTAGCCATGCAGGATGTTGGTTCCATTTCAGTCATTGTCCCCAAAGCAGTTTTTAATTCTCTCATGAATATTAGAACTATTTCTCATTTGGGATGTGCTGCCCAAGTCATGTTCTTTGCCTTTTTCTTGGCCTGTGATATTTCCCTCCTTACTGTGATGGCATACGATCGGTATATTGCCATTTGTAGTCCTTTACAATATGAAATGATAATGAATAGGAAAGCCTGCATCAAAATGATTGGCAGCGTATGGGTTGCCAGCCTTTTCAATGCTTCATTACATACCACTTTCACTTTTATTACTCCTTTCTGTTCTAATATTATCAATCAGTTCTACTGTGAAATCCCTTATTTACTTAAGATTGCCTGTCCTGGTGTATATGCACCTGAAATTGGAGTTCTAATTTTCAGTAGTACATTAACACTCGGTTGTTTTATTTTTATCCTTGTGTCTTATGTGCATGTCTTCTCTGCTGTTTTGAAAATTCCTTCGGTTCAAAGAAGGAAAAAGGCCTTCTCCACTTGTCTGCCACATCTTATTGTCTTCTCCCTATTTGTGTTTACGGCTTGCTTTGCTTACCTAAGAGACATATCTGACAATCCATCCTACCTTCAATACATAATTACAATGCTGTATTCTATTATTCCACCCATGACTAATCCATTGATTTACAGCATGAGAAACAAGGACATCAAACTTGCTCTTTCAAGGCTTATTAGTCAGAGATCATTTAACTTTAAAGAATTGTGAACTATGTACTTATTTATGTTTGCATTTGATCAGGAAGGAGAAAAATAGACATACAATATACAGTTTATACGTTTAACCATCACTCCTATTACAGGCAGCTTAAAATAATTTCTTCCTTGTTGATCTTGGTGTGTTTGATGCATTGGAGAAATTGTTGTGGGAAATTTATTGAGTGGGTAAAGTCATTGACCAGGTGACTGAGTTTTCTCTGCAGGATTTTTGCTAGTTTATATGTCAGTCTTCCTGGCAGAGACACAATTGGGCATAATGGAATGCCGTTCTTGTGTATTTTGAGGAGTCCATAGAACCTGGGTATGGAGGAGTCTTGTGGTTGCATGTGCTTTCTCTCTAGTGGTGTTAGCCATTTTGCTTTTTCCATTTTTCTTAGGTTGTCTTTTATTTTTTTTTCTCTAGCTATTTTGTCAGATCATTGTGATTATTTTGTAGGTTTTGGTTTTGTTGACATTGTTTTTGACTTTGCTGTCAGTCTGCCTTTGTCTGCCAGTAGGATGATGATGCTTTCATCGTATTTCAGTATCTTTAGTGCACTCTTCTCCTTTTGGCTGAGTGTTTCATTTTGTCTGTTGTGTTGCACATTGGGGATGATTCTTTGTCTGATGTTTTCTAGTGTTTCTTGGTCCAGGTGGCTCATTTTGAGAATGGAGTTGAGATTGGTGAGGAATTCAATGAGGTCAGCATCTTTGTGATTGAAATTGAGGCCATGTGTGAGGACAGTCTTTTTCTCATCAGATAGAGGTCTTCTGGATAGATTTCTGATCAATAGTTCTGAGTTGTCATCTTATGATTTTGAAGTGATGGTATTGAGTTTCTCTTATAGTAAGTTGCATTTTTGAGTTTGTATTTTGTTGGCATTCCTGTCGATTTTACATTCTAAGGTATTGTCCAATGGAGTTGATCAAGCAGATTTTTGTTCATCAGTGATGCACTGGTATTTTTCCAGGCAATTGTAGGATCAATTATCATGAACCAAAACATTTTGTGCCTGTTTTGGAAGAAAAACAGCTAACACCACTAGAGAGAAAGCACATGCAACCACAAGGCTCCTCCACACCCAGGTTCTATGGACTCCACAAAGTACACAAGAAATCCCTTAAGCCCAATTGTGTCTCTGCCAAGAACACTGACATACAAAGTAGCAAAAACTCTGCAGAGGAAACGCGGATACACCAAAATCAACAAGGAAGAAATTATGATCTCCTTTGACATCACTGCCCTCTTCACCTCAATTGACATTGGCTAAGCAAGCCATACATTACATACTCACTAGACACCATATCCTCAAAGATGATGCCACTACAAAACATTTCACATCTACAGAAACCATCATGAAACTTACTTCAAGGTAACTGGGAAAATCTACAAATAAATACAAGGTACCCCAATGAGATCATCCATATCAGGCCTAATAGCAGAAGCAGTCATGTAATGACTTGAATCCATAGCTCTACCCACCATCCAACCAAAATTATGGACACACTATGGACACACCTTCATCATCATCAAAAGTTTCCAAATTGAAGAAACAGACCACCTACTGAATAACATATTCCCTGGGATCAAATTCACATAAGAAGAGGAAACAGACAACAGACTCCCATTCCTTCACATTGACATAAGGAGAATAGACAACAGAGAACTGGACATCCTTATCTACCACAAACCCATGTAAACAATTCAGATCCTCAGCTTTGCAAGCCACCATCTCACAGCACACAAAGGTTACTGTGTCCAGACCCTCTTCAAAAGGGCCAGGACATACTGCAGCACCACAACATTAAGAAAAGCAAAAAAGGTGGCTTCCGGTTCCGGGTCGCGGTGGTGCGGTTGAGCAAAGGGAATCGTCCCTTTGCTGGCCAAGTTTCCTCTGTTGGTAGACCCCTGAGAGGGTTGAAAAGTTGCTCTGGAGGAGCAACCACTGTTGAGGAGGCTTCTCGGATGGCTGCAGAGGGGCGGCGGTGCCCTCTGTAGTCCGAGTATCTCCTTTGGGCCAACGGAGTAAAGATCGGTCAGTAAAATGGCCGATCATTTAGCTGCACCGACCGTAAGCCATAAGATCATCTAAGCAAACAGACCCACCGTGGAAGATTCGGTAAGACTTTTTTTACCTCTATTTTCTTTTTTCTTCCTGTGAAAAGCTTTTATTTTTGGACTCATTTCCCTTTTTCTTGAAGCGGCGTTTTAAATGGGGGAAGAAAAGCCTAAGAAAAAAGACTAAATCTATTTTTGTTTTAATTGCTGATTTTATTTTTGGCTATTTGGGAGCCCCAAGGAAATTTCTTATTGAGAGTTAACACGCTATGTATTTGGAGAGTATTGTTTGTTTTTAATTTTTATGGTGTCCGAAAAGACTGAATATTTAATTAACTTTGATGACTCTTTGGGGGACATTTTCTGCTGAAACTACGTATTGCTTTTGCTATTTTCTTCTCTTGGAATTTGTACAAAGGAAAGAGACTAAGGAACTTGGGAAGAGATGGATATTGATTGATTGCGGGTAAATATAGTCTCCCCCAAAAAGAGAATGTCTTCAAATATGATAAAAATGGAGGAAACTTGTTCAGATTCTATTTATAAGTATATTTTGGACAAAATTTTGGAAAACACGGAGATGATAATTGCCTGCAGTAAGGAGATCTCTCTGCATCGACAAAACAAAGCACAAGGTTTAAGTGAAACAGCAGTTCATATTCAAGAGACTTGTTCTCAGTCCACTGAGATGGAAGAAGCAAATGTACAGTTGGATTACCAATTGATATTGGAAAAAAGTTTTGATATTAATGGACAAATGACCTATAATAAGGAAATGGAGGAGCTTACTTCAGAAGGACAAGCTGATTTGCAGACACCATTTGACTTTCCGATAGAGGAAAAACTATTGGAAGAAGAGCAAAATTTGATTAAAGAGGAGTATATTAAAAAAATGATTTCAACTAAAGTTTATACAACTTTTAAAAAGATGGGAAATGATGTTCTGACATGAGTTATTCAGAATAGCTGTAACTCTTATATCAACCCAATAAAACGGACAATGGGAGACCTCTTGTTGCTGTGTACAGTGTGGCAGGAAAGAATGGGAGAGCTATCTGCGGAACTAGAGACTCGATTATGGAAACCTATTTGGAGTAGGAAGAAACCCAGAATAAGATATAAATATTAAATTTGAGATGATAATTATGGATGGTAAAGGTTTTATAGTGATTTAGATTGTTTTGGATTTGGATTTTGTTAAAAGGGAGACTATTATGAAATGATTTAGAATTTAATACTGAAATGTAGCAAAAATATGCTTCTTTTTTCTTTCTTTTTTTCTTTTTTCTTTTTTCTTTATTCTTTGTTCTTTTTTTGGAATGAGATGGAATTAATAATTGGAGAATTATTGAAAAAGAATAGATTTAAATAAGAGAAACTTGGGGTACGTTGGGATAGATAATGAGCTCTTCTAAATGTTTGTTGATTAATGAAATTCATATGTAGCAATATAAATGAAAATTTGTTTTAGAAATGTATTAATGAGATTATAATATATCTTAAATAAATGGAGAGTTTCAGTTTAAGTTTAAATATGTGAGAAATTATAGATTTGTATAGAATAGACACTGAGCGGTTGAAAGTTTTGATTGATTAAGAGAATTTATATTTAGATATATTAATGAATGATTTTATTCGAATCAATTTGATTTATTTATTTATTTATTAATTTAATTTATATCCTGCCCTTCTCCTTACGGACTCAGGGCGGCTAACAACCAGATAAAATGCTACTACCAAAAAACTACAAATTAAAAACATAATTAAAAACAAATATTAATAATTGGTCTAATAGTTAAAAATTACTTTAAAACCCCCATTAAAAATTTTTCCCCTAGGCCAGTCCTGCAAGTTGGAATAACCATGTCTTAAGGGCGCGGCGGAAGGAAGGGAGATCAGGGATCACCCTGATCTCTGGGGGTAGTTCATTCTATATTATATATAGATAGAGAGGGAAATTTTAAGAAATATTTATAATGCTATTGTTTTCTTTTTGTAATTGATCACCATATCTCCATGTTGGTTCTTAAGCTTCTGTTGGTGCAAAATGGAAAACTAATAAAAATTTTGGATAACGACTATCCAAAAAACATCACACACAGCACCCAAACCACAACACACCACGTGCAAAAATTAACCGTACCATATACAAAAGGGATATTGGAAATGACAGCCAGAATTCTCCAATCCCTAGAAATAGCAATAGCCCACAAATCTACAGGTACACTCCACCAGAAATTATCCAAAACCAAAGACAAAATACAGAAGGATGAAAGAAACAATGTAATCTACAAAATCAACCATAACCATTGCAATCAATTCTACATGGGACAAACATCATGCCAATTAAAAAACAGTCAAACACCATGATCCTAAATTCTTAATCTCTACCCAGACCAACACAAAACAGCCCCAGTTCAATTGGAGCAACACAAAAATCAGCCATGCTACCACCCACCATGCTTGTGAGTTCATTGAAGCTTGTCACTCCACAAGCAATTCCATCAATACACACATTGATCTACAATCATCCTACAAACCTTCAGAATCCAAATCAACTGCACAGCCAACCAGAGATAGCACTGACCCTCAACCACCCCACACAAGCCCCACCAACAGTCCATATCCCAATGACCCTGACCTAATTAACCTCCCCATCATGAGACCCATCACAAGACCCATCATAGTCTCTCACTTGACACACCCACACCTTAAACCCTTATAAACAGAAGAACACTGACACTGACACTTATAAACATAAGAACACTGACATCTCCTAAACTCTGCTGAAGATGTTACCTAGCCTGGTAACAAAATGTTCAGAAACCAACCCAGAAGGTCAGAGAATGATCTTTCACCCTTGTCCTTTTTGTCTTTCAGTTTATCAGAGAGATATTTGTGCAACCATGCTGGTTACTTTTTGGGTTCCTTGTTTTCTTTTTCAGTGGTAT